GACTAAATATTCAGAAGTAGTTTGTCACTCCTTCTTCCTAGTCTGTCTTCATCTGGAAGCTCATCTTAAACCTGTCCACCATGGTTGACCCTGCTGGTATTTAAAGTACCGGTGGCATAGCTTTCAGAATCACAGCAACTCACAAGGCACCACAATACGACAAACTGACAGACGAGTGGTGGTACTCATGATTACAAATGGCCAAATAAAAGAGCTGATGGGATGTGGGGGTTGGAAATCCAGTTCTGTGATGCCACAAGCTTCCCCCGTGTTGCTACCTTCGGTGTCTGACCTTGACTCTGGTTATGAGTCACAACTTTGACAACTGGCAGAGCTCAGCGCTCACTGCAGGGAGAAAGTCCATGTACTCCCAGGGATAAGAGGCAATGAAATGGCAGCAGCTGCTCTAGGCAACAGGCCTGGGGAGTAAGCCTCTGTGTCTTCTCCCTCCTCCCACAATAGTGAAGTTGCCCATCTTGAGGCTTTGAAACTAGTATTTATTGTTCTGCATGGAAGCTGTAGACTGAATTCCCTTCCTGGAACACAGCAGAGTTTAGACCCGAAAGTTCACATGACATTTCTGAAGAACAGCTGGAGCTACTCACCCAACTGAGAGGTTTGGCGTCAGGTTGTAGGGCAGGAAAGGCATCTCTGTTTATAAGGCCCAGTTTGATCAATCCATTTAAAGCTTTAGCGTACCCCTGAAACAATCAATGCATGTAAAAAAAAAGTTAACGTTTATTTGAAAAGAGGGTTCTACCTCCACAACTAATTTAGAAACCAGACTGAGAATAAGTCATTTGTATCACTGGTGTGGAAACAGTTACTTTCATACTCAAACCATAATCAGTGGCATCACACAACTGTGCTGGTTTCTACAAGCAGCCGAGCAAAATGGGGTCTTGTCCTTTTTGTACTGGGCAACTTGTCAGTGGGATTTTCCAGCAGCATAAAAGCAGAATTCTTGATGTGTTATAAGCTGTCAGTTTAGCAAAATCGTATTTAATAGTACAATCAGTTGTCTTCCCTCTTATAAAGGAAGAAGGTGCTTATAAGAAGATGCCTGCAAAGCAGAGAAGCCATTCTACTGGTTGTATTGCTTCCCTAATCAGTTTCCCTTAAGCTGACTCCAACTCATAGCAACTCTGTGTGTCAGAGTATAACTATGCTCCGTAGGGTTTCCAATGACTGATTTGGGGTTTTTTTTGGAAACAGATCAATAGGTCTTTCTTCCAGGGAGACTCTGAGTACACTAGACCCGCCAAACTTTTGGTCAGCCAATGGGCTTGGTAACCATTTGCACTAATCAAAGGCTCTAAATTCAAGTGGTGGGTGTGTGCCACCGAGTCAGTTCCAACTCACAGTCACCCTTAATAGGGTTTCCAAGGCTGCAAAGCCTCAATTTTCTCCTGTGGAGTGGCTGGTAGATTCGAACTGCTGACTTGTTGGTTAGTAGCCCAGCTCATAATCCACTGTACCACAAGGGCTCCGTGAATTCATACAGGAAGAAGGAAAAGAAGTAGGAATCAGAGATACTTTTCTAAAATGTTGATCTGACCATGGCACCACTCTGACAGAAATCCCTCATGTGTCCACAGCTTACAGGCTGTCCTTGGCATATAATACAAAACCCATCACAATATGTCCAATAGCCAAACTCATCAATCACCCGAAGCTCCCCTCACCATTCCCCAAACAAGCTGTGCCTCTTCAGAGACCTGGACATCTGTGCACAGGCTGCAGCTGGGCTAGGCAATGCTTAACTCTCCCTTAAGGTCTAGCACAGCACCTCTTCTGACCCCCTTTGGTGAGTGGTACTTCCTTCCTCCCAGCATTCAGATAGCATTTTGTACAAACATCTATCACTTACTGAGATTCACAGCCACCTTACAGGACAGAGCACAACTACCCAATAGTGTTCCCAAGGCTGTAATCTTTATGCACGCAGACTGCCACATTGCTCTTCCATGGAGCAGCTGTAGGTTCAAACCACCGACCTTTCCAATAGCAGACAAGTGCTTAATCCTGGAACCACTATGAGTTGGTGTCAACTGAACAACAGGCTTGGTTTGTTTTTATTGGTGGTTTCTAGCCTGAACACAAATTGTCATTATTTGTCTATACAGCTGCTAGACTGCAGGCATAGAAAGTAAGGAAATGTACATGTACGCATGTTCATCACCCTCGCACCCTCACCAACATTCCAGTCGGCGAACAGAGAGCAGGAGTCCTGGTGTGGTGCTGTGGGTTAATGAGCCAGACTGCAAAGCCATTTGAACTGCAAGGTTGGTGGTTCAAGCTCACCAGCTGCTCCTCGGAAACCCTATAAAGGGTAGCTATGGGTCAGAATCGACTCTATGGCACTTAGCAAAACCAACAACAGAGAAAAATGTCTATAGGGATGGATTCTGTCTGCAGGAATG